GGCCCTGTGAACGGAGCGTGTGTGAGCATGGGGCCAGCGTGTGTCTGTGCACATGGTGTGTGTGTGCACAAAGGCTTCCGTGCCTGGCTGTCCAGTTGCACCAGTGTGTGTCAGTCCAACCATGGAGGGGGGGTGTCCGCGTGCACCTGAGTGTGAGTGTATATGTGGGTCCATCCACCCTTCCACGTGCGCCGGTCCATCTGGCTGTCCGTGTGTGTGCCCCATGGCTGTCGGTCTGTGCCCACGTGTCTGTGTCTATCAAGGGGCTGGGGAAGGGTGTTTGCCCTTGGGTCTATGTGTCCGTCCCGCCGTGTCTGCCCGTCTGTCCAGCCATGAGTGTGCTCACGTCTGTGTGTCTGTCTGTCCGCACGGGGCTCTGGTGCTGGCCCTGCCTTCCCCCACTCTGCCAGCTGCTGCGAGCCACCCTGCTGAGCCGGCGCCCCCCGGGGGGCAGGGGGAGGTGACACTCAGAGACGCTCCACACCAGAGGCTGCTGTGCCACTCCATCCAGAGAGAGCGAGAGACCCGGACACTTTGGCAACAGGTAGGAGCTGGCTCAGCACCCCCTCCTGCACCCCATGTCCCCTCCAAAGTGAGCCACCCCCTCCTAACCCCCCCTGGGCTGGGGCTCTGACATGGGGAGTCTAAGGCTCCCTGTTAGCTGGAGTGAACCTCGCTCCCCTAGGAACTCCTGGGACCCAGATGGCAGGGATCACCAGCTGCTCCCGGAGCATCCGACAGCCACGATCCCCATCAGCCAGGGAGCAGCTAAATCTCCCCCACGCCCCGGACAGTGCCAGCAGGGGCTGGTCTCCCTGCCCTCCGCGGGCAGATGCCAGGCTGGGGTGCAATCACGGCTAAGGGGGCATCTGGTCCTTCTCCGTCCTCCGCTCCAAGCGTCTCAGAGCCTTTGCCAAGCAAGACTAACTGCCTCCTTCCCAGCATGCAGGTCAGGCTCCTTAGCCCTGTTTCAGGGTGGAGGGCTCAGGGACAAAGAGAGGAAGGGGTTTGCCCAGGGACCCCCAGTGAGTCAGGACTAGAACCAGGTGCTCTGGCTCCCAGACCCCCCAGCTCTGGCCCCCTAGACTCCATTCTGCTCCCAGAACTGGGGCTAGAACCCAGGAGTCCTGACACCCAGGTCCCTCACCTAATCTCTACCCCACCCTTCTCTCCCGCTGCTGACACTTACTCCTTCTCCTGCACTCCCCCAGTGACAGGGGCCAGCCTCCGTGCCCAAATCTCTGCCCATTCTTAGAACTGAGCAATCTTGCCCAGATACAATAGAGATGGCACTGCTGTAAGAAGATAGATAGATAGATAGATAGATAGATAGATAGATAGATAGATAGATAGATAGATGGGGGTATGGGGATAGATAGATAGATAGATAGATAGATAGATAGATAGATAGATAGGGGTATGGGGATAGATAGATAGATAGATAGATAGATAGATAGATAGATAGATA